CATACTCTACTCTGTGTACATTACTGTATTTTGCTTTATAAGATGGTGCCCAAGACTGCCCTCTTTTACTTCCCTTGAAGGTTTTCCATCCCATCTCAAATTGCCAGTGACACATTGCCTTAAGGCTCAAGCACAAGGATGAGATGTCACAAGCAAAAGATAAGTGTCAGGGGCATTATCTCCTGGAATAATGGCATACTTATATTACATTATATGGTACTTCCAGATATAATAAAAACTAGGAAGTGCAAATAAGAAATTCATAGTAATAAAGTTGAACATATACATAATTGAACAACCACCATTAAATGAGGTTAATGCCTGTCCTATTTTACAGTGTAAGAAATATCCAAAGAGTGAATAGGAAATCGGGATCATTTATGACCTGACCCATCAATTTTCCTTGCTGGGATTCTAAACCTACAGACTCCCAGGAGTCTACCTGTCTGTAGACCTGAAGACAGTTTTGTGATCTTGAATCAGCCATGAGATAATTCTGTTAGAAAGTTTTTTAAAAGACCTCTGGAGGAAAGATTATGCTTATCTATAATCGGAGATAATTGGCTCCCGAACTTTAATACTAAATTCCTTGGCATAGAGCACGGCTTCTCCTTTAACATCATCATCGTGACTTCGGTCATCAAAGAAATAGGCGGCACTTTCAGGAAGAGCAACCACAAGCCGTTCAGCAAAAACTATAAACATGTCAGGAATTGTCATGGGAAGTGACCTGGGACACGTAATTGTTGGGTTACTGATTCACACAGGTTTTGTTGTTTTGAGAATTTAATGAAGCTTGAAGCGTTAAACAATTTTATGTGCATTCATTCATTTATTCAAGAATAATGACTGAGAAAATTCTCTGGTACCATTTCCGGGGGTAGGACACAGAGGTGACTAGGAAAAATCTTCTACCCCTTCCTCGTTTGCAGTTTAATGGAAGGGGAAGCAAGAAAATGATCAAACAAATAAATAGCATAATTGCATACGAATAAATGTGCTAGTGAGAAGATAAAGTGCTGAAGAGGTAGACGTGGAATGTGCAGGGATTTAAGAGAGAGTCACAAGAAGGCCTCTCCTAGAAGTGACGTTGGGGCAGGGACCAGTGAGGATAGGGAGGGACCAGCAGCAGCATGGAACGTCTAGGAAGGAGGGTTGCAGGCAGAGAAACAGCAAACGGTCACAGGCAGGGACAAACCCAACCATTGCCAGGAGCAAAACTCAGCTGTTATGGATGGGACACAGGAAGGGATGATGGAGGGATGAAGGATGTGTGAAGAGAAACGCAGGAGACAGAGCGGGCAAAATGGGCTCTGAAGGAAAGGTAAAGGGATTCACGCTGTGGTTTAAGTATAAGGGGAAGCCACTGGAGAGGTTTAAGCAGGGAAATGGCACGACGTGATATCTATGAGAATCGCACGCTCCAGGCATAGCCAAGCAGCATCTCCGTGAGCACTAGTGTAGAATTCTGTGTGGAGACCACAGCCAGCTCAAGCCTGTGTCCTCTTAGGTAACCGACGCAAAGGTGACATGCAAGGAAAATGGTGCTTCCTGTCCCTTAGTGTTGATGGCCTAGGTGTCCATTGCTATGTCGGTGATGGAGGAGGCATGATTTCTGCTGATGTCCTAGGCAGGGAGGGAACTATTAAATCACCAATGATACTAGGGGATAATGTAATGAAGAGTGCCAGACAGAGGCAGGAGCGAGACACTCTCCACCCTACAAGGAGGAAAGAGCTCTCGGCTGGGGCAAACTTCACCAAGAGGTGAAGTTCACTGGAGATGAACATCTTGAGAACCAAGCATTAGAGGAGATATGGGAAAAATTAATATCCATTATTTACTAATCAGCTTACAGTTCTACCTGGGGTTTCCTTTTTTTTTTTTTTTTTTTTTATCTGCATGAAGAACTAGCTATGAGGCCAGGCATGGTGGTCTCTAATCCCAGCACTCTGGGATTCCTTGTGCTTAGGAGTTCGAGACTAGCCTGAGCAATAGCAGGACCCCCATCTCTGTTAAAATTAGACAAATTAGCTGGATGTGGTGGCACATGCCTCTAGTCCCAGCTACTTAGAGGCTGAGGCAGGAGGATCCCTTGAACGCAGGAGTTTTAGGTTACTGTGAACTATGATGCCATGGTACTCTAGCTTGGGCAACAGAGTGCAACTCTCTCCATCAAAAAACAAAACAAACAACAACACAAGAAAACTAACTATGAGGGAAATAATTAGCAATATCTAAGAACTATGTAACTATCCTTCCCCCAAAGGAGTATTTTTCTATTTAATACTACAGAAAGCTGAACTTATGGGTTTATGTGAGAGAGATACTGAGTTGGTTTTGGAAGTAGGATCAAAGTCCTGCTTTGATTCTATCATCTGTTGATTATTCTCTAGACAGCTAATCATGTCTCTTAACTTAGTTCTAGTCTAACTTCCAGGTAGTTTGTCTAGTTCAAGTTGTATATTGCTGTATATTCAGAATTTTCTCTAAACTACTAAGTGGAGCTTAATTTAGAAAATGATGAGCAATAATAAAATCGCATGAATGACATTTCCCATCATGCTGTTAACTTCCATGCTTTATACAGCCACATAATGAAACTGGCTCGCGGTTTACCAGGTAAACCATCCCACTAAATTGTATCCCTTGGGTGAAGGAAGATTCACCAGCACAGCCTGAGAAACAAAACAGTCTTCTTTTTCTGTTCTGCAAATGAGTAAAGAAATGCCACTTCTGGTCTCATCAAAAAACACTTGCCATGTTTCTTTTGAATAAAATGTTCTGAAAGGCACGATCGCACTGCAGTCACTCCTTCCTGGCCAGTCACCAAGTGTTTGGATGTGATTTTGCGTTTGGCACCAGCCTTCTGTTATTAAATTCATACTTCCCTGGGCATTAGCTTCAGGATGAGATGTCTTTAAAAAAAAAAAAAAAAAGCCCAACACTGTACTCAGCATCCGCTCTAACTAGCAGTCTGAAAAAAGCATTGATCACATTGGTGATTTTCTTGCTCATTTGCACAACAGACGATCCCACATCACAGATCACAGAGCTTACCCTTTTCTTTTCTCCCTGCACTGCCTGTAAGATGCATCAGCACAGCGGGAGCCCTGGCTGCCAGCCATTGCTCACATAGCTGGAGGACGGCAAGGTGTTCCCCCAAGCTCACAGGGTCCTCATTGTGAGGAGTGATTCAGCACTCTGGGAGGTTTGCCTCCTATTTCTGTTGATATTCGTCCGTGACCCAAGCTTCTAAATTCATACCTCTGTGCCTCTTGAATGGCTCCTACAGAACTTGAACGAGAGCTCCTCAGCTCTTATTCCAGGATGATTCTAAAGTGCCATGGTTTTTGTTTAATATTTTTATTCAATAAAATTATTTTTAGAATTTTTTTAATTTAACAAAAAATTATGGCTAACTTTAGAAATTTACTTAAAGATAGTATTAGGAATGTAAGGCAAATGAAAGTATAAAAGGTATTTGTCCTCATTTGCCTATAAAGATGAGATAGGGTGAATAGCTCTCCTACCGAATTGGTCTTTGACTAATTTATAACCATATAGAAATCATGTTATCTATAATTAGTGTAAAAACACAGGTAAATGAGACTTTAAGAGTTTGAAAACTTTCCTCTAAAGATTTGAAATGTTCCCAACACGAAGAAATGATAAACATTTGAGGTGATGGATATTCTAATTACCTGAGTTGATCATTCTACATTGTACATACGTCAAAATCTCACACATACCCCATAACTCTGTATAACTATTGTGTATTAATAAAAAGGAGTAGTTACATTTTAAAAATAATATTCTCTACATAATTAAAAAATAAATGTTTGATAAGCTAATTTATTCACTAATGGTTAAGAACACTGTATTAACAGTAATACATCAAACTAAATTCCTTGAGCTGAAAAATCAAGGTCCATTAAAATATTGTTAAAATTGTCTAAAGTTGGGCAGCACCATAGCTCAGTGGGTAGGGCATGGGCCACATACAAGGCTGGCAGGTTTGAACTCGGCCCAGGCCTGCTAAAACAACAATAATGACTGCAACAAAAAAAATAGCCAGGCTTATGGCGGGTGACTGTAGTTCCAGCTACTTGGGAGGCTGAGGTAAGAGAATTGCTTAAGCCCCAGAGTTTGAGGTTGCTGTGATGCCACAGCACTCTATCAAGGGTGACGGCTTGAGACTTGGCCTCAAAAAAAAAAAAATGTCTAAAGTAAAAGGAATAGCAAAGCAATTTCACACACAAAAATGTAATAATTTAAATAAAAAGGCTTTTTGACAAGGTACTTAGAAAATAATGGCCAAATTTTAAAGAAAATGATTGCTACAAATAAACGTTAGAAAAAATAAAGCTGTGATAAATTAAAAAAAAAAAAAAACTTTCCTCTATCTTGAATTATTATATTTGTTATTGTTACATAGTTAATCAAAAAACATAAAGACACATTATTTAAAAAATGATTACATATCATTGAAATACAAACCCTGATAATTGTTAAAT